TTAAATTCAAATCAGATATTTTCCGCCAAAAACGCCGAATCCGTATCGTCGGTTGCCTATCCCGATTGTGACGTAGCAGGTCATATCAACAAAGTATCTCGTGTTTATTTTGTTGTTTTCGCAGCTTTGTTTTATTATTTAAGTTATGTGTTATTATTGTGATTATCCCTATTTTATTGATTATCATTATCTTGCACAATGGAAAATAGTGACATGTATGTATCACAAAATAAGTGATGTTTTGTGCCGAGATGCAAGAATACCTCAATAAGTCCTCCAAACAAACTCTTTCTAACCGTTCCCCATGATTATGCACGTAAAGTTTTATGGTTCAAACCACAAAGCAACTAGACGTGATGTTCCTAAATCAAAATCAATGTTTTTTTGTTGGGATGATCATTTTAATGAAAGTACGAACAAAAAGCTAATGATGAGGCAGACAGAGTATGTCTTCGATCGTACTTTGTGTTCTGGGCACAAAGAACCCTCGCGTTTCAATTCCACATATCCGATATCACCATATTGTTCTCGTGATGCCCAAAATACAAATTTAAGAGTTCAGTTTACTTTTAAAGCAGCCATGTGTATCGGTTAGGTTAAGTTGAATAAGTGAAATTCTATATATCATTTACCTAATTTAAACTAATACGGACAGATTAGTATATTAAGAAGAATAACTAATAATGAATTTACGGATTTTTACTTACGCTGCTGCTTTGACACCGTTAAATTCGGCTGAAATAAAGCGTTCGTCGTTTTTTAAAAATTTGGTAACCATAAAAATATGTACACATAGTAAATTGTTTGTTGACGCCTTAAGGAATCCTTCTGAAGCCTCTTTTAATTTAACACAAACTATAAATTATTTAAATCCATAGAATAACTAATGAAACACAACCACACAACTAAACACTATGCACAGAACGTAAACAATCCGCCATTTATATGACCAGAGACGTCACAACCAATAGGATTGCGTTTTAGAGATTTTTGCTGAATTTGTTTATTAAATATTTAACAAAATAGCAATAGATAGATAGATAGTATAAACTTATTTGATCTTTCATATATATTTATATTACCATAGATTAATGTTCAGTTAGTAGGAGTTTTTGATACAATGAAAACACCCACAATTGGTTTTGGCGTCGTTTGATAGAGAAGTGAAAGTGCGATTCAGTCATGAGAACATGAGTGAGGAGTTCGAGTTATTTTGTCGAAATTTGAATATCATCCATTGAGTTGATGGCTTCCTTATACAGGGTGTCCCAACGGGATCGGCCGCGATCGATATCTGGCAAACTGTAAGTAGGAGAAATTTGAAAATTG